TTTTTTTTTAAGTTGGACCATTTCTCCTTTTTTTGTTTTTGTTTTTCAAAGAACAACCCGACCGGATGCTAGGTGTGCTGATATGAGCAGACACACCTAGCACCGTCGGGAAGGCTCCATCTCTTGGTGGGGAGCAGCACCTGCTGGAAATCGGGTTCTGGACCATTTCTCGATTTATGCATGTCATGCTAATCTTCTCTTTATCGTTCCGGAGGACTAAACCTTCTTTTTTAAATAACTCTGAACAAGATCATGATATCTCACGGCCGTCGCCCCTATTAAAATATATATATATCGTCACAAACAGAACTCGGGGACAGGAAAAGCGAAAAACAATCAACAAAAGGAGATAAGGAGGGCGACTTTTTGCATTCTCCGGAATCGGAGCGTCTGAATGTGCGTGTATTACACGAACAAGATAAGAAGAAGGACGTCATGCACCTGGCCGTCATTAACGTGCATTTGCCTCCTGATGTCTCTCTGTCCAACAATGGACCCCAATAGTTGTCCCGTTATCACTTCGGATCCTGATCTGACAGAATGAGATGAATAACCTTTTTTTTTTTTCAACATTAAAAATGTAAGAGAAAAAGCTGTCCCAATGCTACAGGCTGTCCCCTACCCCTACCGGTAGCCCGTATCCCCCACCTGCTGAAGCAGCTATGGCCCCATGATAGGCCCTTGGTCCCCCGAGGGCCCGGGGCTAGGTCCCACTTGCACGAATTAAGAGATTTTTTTTTACCGTAGATAGCAAAGATCAACGGCCGAAATCTCCTAATTTGCACAAGTGGGACCCTGACCCCGAGCTGCATTGAGCAGAGACTGCTGATGTTCATAGGGAATGATAGGGGGACTCGGACGGACCGGAGGGGGGGGGAGGAGGCACAGCGACTGGCCCATCCGGCTGACCCCTAGCCTACCTAGCCGGTGTCACCCACCTGATGCAGCCTGATGTAGCAGATATCGCACCTGCTGATGGGTGCAGATATAGCACCTGCTGATGGGTGCAGATATCGCACCTGCTGATGGGTGCAGATATAGCACCTGCTGATGGGTGCAGCTACCGCATGTTCCCTCGTTGGAGGCTTCAAGGCTTGAGCACGGATAAGGCCGGTACGGGATCCAGTGGCCAAGCTCAGGGCATCCTCACATGAGAACGTTTTATACAAAAGCTCTGGGCGTGATTATGGCCAGATTCGTGCAGGTGTCTGGCCACGAATCTGGCCATAATTGCAGTCAGATGCATTTGGGAAAGTCCTAGTGTGAGTATGTCCTCACTTGGTCAGGCACGCATTGGCAAGTGGCATTCGGGAGCTCTAATATTCGCCCACCCACAGACACAGGAAAAAGCCAAAAAAAAAAAGAAAAAAAGAAAAAAGAAAAAAAAGACACTTTGGAGTGCTGCTGTGTGACTGTCTTTATATGCCATTGAAAAATTTGAAAGCTGAAACCCATTTCGTTTTTTTTTTTTTTTTTTTCGGAAATCCGTTTCATTTCAATTCTACCCTACATTCAGCAGTTCTAAAACCAAAAAAAAAAAAAAAAGGCGTAGCCAGCAAGCACGAGCAACCCATGGCATGCCCAATCTCCTCACCCCGTCGGCGAAAAAAACTGGAACGTCAACAAGAAAAAGGCTCCTGCAAACTACGACGTGGCCGCTGGGAATCTGATCGGACGTCAGAACAACTATTTCTGCTGTCAAAGCGCTCCAAAAACAAAAACAAAAAAAAAAGAAAGACGTATGACTGTTCCTCGGTCCCGATACCGGTCGCAGTATACAGTAACATCACTCAGCCTGGGGAGATATACGGCCTCACAGCACCTCTCGTCAGAAGAACAGAACGAGAATGAATCTTCCTCTAGAACATGGAAAGATGCACCGCCATAAATTTTGCCTTTTATTCATTCAGTAAGTGGTGGGTCGAGGCCCATACAAACCGAGAGGAGGGGCTCTGGTGGAGGTGGAAGACGGGGTGTGGAAGAGAGCGGGGGGAGGCGGGGGGGGGGGGGGGGGGGAGGGGGGGTTGGGAGGAAAATGAAAGAAAAGCTTAGGGAAAAAAGGAAAATTTAAAGAAGAGAGAGAAAAAAAAGAGACAAAAAAAAAGAAAGGCAAAAAAAGAGAAAAAAAAGAAAAAAAAAAAGAAAGAAGGGACTGACAGAATTACCTTGCCTTGGCAGAAAGCATGACTTTTTTTCTTTTTTTTTT